CAGGTTTTCAGCTCTAGCTGGACAATCGCAGCTGTGCAAGTCTAGTGCGCGAAGCTCCGGCTGGAAAATCGCAACTTTGTAGCGCAAGTCTAGCAACAGGTGGAGCACGCAAAGTACAGTTTTACAAGCTGAAAAACATAGTTTGCGCAGTAGGCTTGATTGCGAGCCCCATTGGCTTATACCGAAAAATGTTCTCTCTATTTTTTCTTGGGTTTGCGGCAAGTGATGTGCATTCGGGTTCGTGGGCTGTGTCTTGTTTTTTAACTGGGAGGGTACGACCATCTCCTAACATAGAATCTGTGCCAGGTGCCCCTCGCCACGCCAATCCTGGGGCTTCCCAACACAACCCTAGATTCTTCGGGGGGTCGGTCTCGAGCCTGCGCTTCCGTGTAAACGAAAAAACGAGAGTGAAAACACACGTTCTGACCGACGAAAGTATCCTAACATAGAACCTGAAACTGGGCCCTGCACTTCCATGTAAAGGAGAACACGTGTGCTTAACATGGAAGTGCAGGCTCGTCGTTTGCCCTATTGTTTTTCGGGGTCAATAGGGAAACTATGAGTATGTTAGGAGCAGTTTCGCATATATCTGAGAAAAGCCGTGAAGCGGCAAAAGTCGTGAAGCGGCATTTTCCTGCACGCTTAAAATTACGGCTTGTCCGCCCGCAAATTCAAAAATTGCTATTTCCAAGTCAATCTCACCCCCACATGCCCAGTCGTACGGCGTACCTAGGTGGGGTTCTGGGCCAGTTCTGGAAGGAGTGTGGAAGGAGTTCAGGGGGGGTAGGGTTTTTGAGGGTTTGAGGGAGCTATCAAAAGCCTGGCTTTTTCGACTGACCTGTAAAAAAATAAAGAATACAAGCTTCGGAGCTTCCTGTTTAATTCCAGGGAGTGTATTGGAGTTTTACATTTGGGTCTGCGGCCCAATTCCCCCCAACCTGACTTAGCAAAGGCTTGCCAGTTCAATATCAAGTGACTGTGAAGCCAGTGTCACAAGGAAAGAGATCTTGCTGAAAACTTGGATTTTACACAGACATTTTCACACATAGGTTCGCACAACAGTTTTACATTCCGCTGCTTGCCGGGCCTCTTAAAGTACTACCTCAACACGGAGCCGTTCACAAGGGGCTCAACGCAACCTTCTTCACTGCAGGGTGGCTCCCGTGTGCTCCTCGTAACCTTGACGAAGGTCAGACCCAAGAGCGCACTCAAGTCAGCCAGGCCAGAGCGAGCGGTTTAGTGCGGTTCATGTTGGTGTTGTTCCCTTTTTGGCCGGAGCCGGTGTTTTTTTTCACACCCCCGGCCGGGGCTTAAAGCACCGATGGCTGGATGCTGGTTGGATGCTGGTTGGTCGGTTGGTGGGTTGGCGGGGTGGCCGCGTCCCAACGCATGGCCTGGTGTTGGGGACTGTTGAGGCAGGCTGGTTGCCCAACGGCTGTGATTTTGTTGGTTGGGAAGGCGGTCGGTTCGCTTGGTTGGTTTGTTGGCCGGTCGGCCGCATCCTTGCCGGCCGCGCTCAGACCTAGGGCTGCCTTGCTCGGTCCTGGTTTCGGGAGATCTTATTCAGGGCGGGTCTTGGGTTTGTTTGGTTCATTTAGGCTCGGCAAAGGGCTGATGTCCAGGCCTGGTTCGGGCTAAGTGTGTTGCTTGTTGCTGCAGCGTTAGGGTTGCTTTAGGGTGTGATTGTGTGAGTTCCACCAAAACCAGCCCCACACCTCACGCAACCACACATGCAAACACTGCCAAAGCCACTGCCCAACCAGCAGCGCGCCTGGCGCAAATCAGCCAAGCCAACAACCTTTAACCCGCCAGACCCGCTCTCAAAAAGATCTCAGCAAGCCTCACCCGAAACCGAGAAAGTCTCAACTGCCACCAATAAATCAAAGGCGCAAGCTCCCAGGTTCAAACGGCAAACGGGATGGAGTGATTCGACGCCCTGCCCTGAGGAAGTGGCCATGCCTCTGGAAGGCTCAGGAGGGCGCGATAGCCGCCTCCTAAAATTCAGATTATTTTTGCTTGGGAACCTCGCACGCACAAACTACATTCCAAAACGGGAATTGGTGAGTTGGACCCCTGCAAATGGTGCAACTTTACCGACACTAAGAGAGGATCCCGATTTCAGGAGAGACCCAGAGCCAAGGCCAAAGGGCCTCTAGCGTGCCCTGACCGGACAAGGTGTGCAGAGGAAAAAGCCGAGCCAATGCAGCTGTCAGACCGAACCCCTGTCCACCAGTCCGCCCTGGGTGAACACGCAGCTTATCCCCAACCTCATTCGTCTTGGCTTGCGCATCTTCTATAGATGCGCATGCGCATCTATGTTTGTGTGTATGTGTATGCAAACTCACTTGATGACTTTATCTTATGCATCTAAATATTTGACAACTACGTGAATATATATGGATGTGATATATATATACATATGTATATATATATATATATATATAGGCTCGATATATAGGCTCGCCCCCCCCCCCCCCCGGCCTCATGATCCACATTTCGGGTCTTGCGTTATGTGACTGCAGTTGCGGCCTAACATTTTGCGAGGCTTCCAGTGGCGATGAGCGCCAATCCTGGGCCAAGTTCGCCAAGAATGGCCCGCGAAAACACTGGAACATGCTGTTTTTGCAAAATTGTTCCGAATCAGATTCTGGAGCAGATATCTTGCATTTTCTGCATGCAGGAGCCCAAAAGTGCTGTCCCTACAATCTGGGCCTTAGAGGCCAAAAATGCTGCGCTGTCCCTAAAAAACATTTGTTTTATGGCCTGTTTTTCCAGGGACAGCGCGCTGCAAACTGATTATGCAGAAGGATTTCCATGCAAATCATCAGCTCCTCAAGATCTATCCCCGCAATCACCTGCTCCCATGTTCAAACATCTGCTCCACTTTCTGCACTCAGGACCAGAGTTTGGTACGCAACAATCCTGTGTTTTTTGATTTGCCCAGTGCTTTTTGCTGTTGACACTAAAATGTGGATAACGGGGGGGACCGTATGAATATATGTAGATACATGTGTGCATATAAGTATTTGCCCCGCCTTTTGGGGATGGTGCGTCTGGAATCTTGAAACAATTCTCAGTCTTGGGCCCCCAAAGCCTCATAATTTGGTACTCAACTAGAGTTGGCATTCTGGCTGTAGTTTAGTAAGGATACAACTTTCAGAAATGTGTGTATGTTCACTTTCCAAATAGGAGCTACATGAAATTGTGAATATAGTTTCGGGTAAACTCCAACTATTCTTTAGTTAGATGGGAGTTTATTCCCAAATATAATCTAAGTGTTAAAATATAGTCTAATACCAACACAGTTCAACTAGCTCTTGATAAAAAAAACAATAAAATAGAGACTACTTGTCAAATACAAGGCGTATTAAACATGGCTACACATTTAAGTGACTTGTACAAGGAAATTCGAAATACGATTTGTGTTATTTACATTCTGGCCCTTTTGTAGCATAAGAAAGGTCCGAAATTGAACTTGTTAGACGGTGTTCCAAACGGAAATTTCAAGGGGAGAGAGGTTCAAATTCTAAAGCTAATCTCAAAACAAGGATTCTTGCTAAATCAGTTGTGTTTAAACTTCTATTTGCACAGAAAAACAAAATTCAGAAAAACCTCAAAAGGTGGAGGTAGTGGATGAGCAAATGTGGACAGGTAGTTCAAGAGGGGGGTGACGGTGTGTGAACATACACACATATGTATATATATATATATTTATTAATATATACACACATATATAGTACCCCTAATGATCCTGCGCCTGTTCATAAAAGACTGTAAGAACAGTGTTCTTGAGCATCACACCGACATTTGTTTACTTCCTGGAGAAGGGTCAACATGAGCATAGCTGACATGAAGCAAACTGCTCACCAAAACGCTTGAAAGTTTGTCTAACTAATTCCTTGAAAGTGCCTCCACTGGATCGCTTTGCACTTGGAAGATTCAAGATTGACGATTTTTGTCAATCCTGGCCAACCCCAAGCAATCTGCAAGTTCTTCCAACACTTGAAAGTGATTTACCACTGCGTTGAGGATTCACCATTGAGGATTGCGCAAACAGCAACTTTCCTGAGAATCATGCATCAGCCCCTAAAATGTTCAAGTTGTTCTAAAGCCTCGAGCGTGTTTTTACCACTGGATTGAAGATTCGAGATTAACATATTCCACGGAGAGCCAAGATTCCCAGAAAATCTTTTCTCAGATTCTTGAATCCAGGAACTTTAAAAAAGCAAAATTCTGGGACTCAAGGTTCAAGATTCCAGGTTCCCAGAAAATATTGTCTCAGGTTATTGAACCTTGAACCTTGAATCCATCCAGATGATGATGTCATTTCTTTAATTCACGCATTCAAATCACATATGCATATGGCACCCCCGAATTTTGACACAAAATCCTAGAAGCAAAAGAAGGCAGAACACACTGGAAAAAAACAGGTCAAACGCACCAATCCAGGGTCCACGGGGGGTACCATGCTCATGTACACATACAAACACACATATGTATATGTATACACATGTATGCACATACGTGTATATATATATATATATACGTGTGTGTGTAAGTGTGTGTGCAGACGTGCATCCATTTGTCTATTTGGAACATACGCATATATCCGGCAGAGCGTAGCTAGAGCCATAGATAGTTTGATAGAGCCAGGCAGGCCGCGCTTTTGCCCGTCCATGTTTTACTGAACGCCGGTTTGATCGCACTTGCGCAACTCGCCGGGCCCATTCGGGTCTGTCTGCTGAACACATGCGTGCTTCGTGTGGGCGCACGTGTATTCTGTCCACATGTTGCAGTGACAAACCCAGTGGCAGAGGACAACACATGCGCATGATCTGAGACCGAGAACAACTTGAAAAACACGAAGCGCAGAAACATGCAAGCCTTTGTTTTGGGTAGCGTACGAATGTAGATCCACGCGGTGAGTGGGACGTTTGCGCTTCCTCTTCCTTGAACGATGGTTTCTTGTCGTCGTTCGGCCTGGCCTTGCCGAAGCGGAGGTGGCCGCGGAGGGCCACTACGGGTTCCGCGCGGTGCAGTGCGGCGCGCGGTGTGCGCGCCTCAACGTGGCGGTGGCCCTCCAAGGCGAGAAGTCGCCCGCGGGCCCAGTGGGGAGAAGGGGTGGCGCGATAGACTTGCAAGAGCCCGGATGATCTTCAAAATCGACACCCCAGACAAGTAGGCTCGGTGAGCAGCTTGCGATCCTGCCTAAAGGCGCGACACAAGGTGACTTGCGTGTTAAGAATATGCCAACAAAAGGAATCCGAATGTCAAAAGGAGAAAGACCTGGCTATGGGTACTAGATCGCAAGGCCACTGAGAACGGGGTCCGGTAGGTGCACGGCCGCGTGTCGGAAATTGAGCAGGGGACGCTGAGGGCTTGACTCAGCTGGACTTGCTCAGGTTCATCTTAGCAATCAGGGCGGCCGTTTGCAAGCGGGCTCTGCCCGTTGGAGGCTTTGCAATGGTTGTGGGTTGACAGTGTGCCAACAAAGACATGCTTTCCTCCGCCCATCATTGGGCTCATTCTGGCGCATTTGAAAGGCTCAAGTCGCCAACTTGCGACATGCTGTCGGTTACCCACACCCACACACACGAACACGTGGTCCGCGTGTGCACATAGTTGTGTGGGCCACGCAAGTTGCCAGCACAGACATGAAGCTTGTTTCACCCCGGCGTGTGCATTCTTCATTTTTGCAGTTGGCGCCAATCAATACCGCACGAAGAAGCAGGGCCGCGCTTCATGTAGCCGTCAGCCACATGCTATGGAGGAGGCAGGGGCTTTGGGTGTCTCAGGGTATGTCAAGGTGTGATCTGAGGACCCAAAGCAGAGAGCTGCAAAGTTTCATGGCTCTCACCAGTCCAGATATTCGTTTGCGTTGGCCCAGGAGACCCCATTTGGCTGGAAGACGAAGAAGTGCGAAGACGACGAAGCTTAAAATGCGAGGCGACCTTACATGTAGCACGAATCGGAAAATGACCGCGACGACGAAATTCGAAGCGGAAATTAGTAAACCAGCGAAGACAATATTGCGAGGCACGTCCCGCGAACACGAAAATCAAAGCCGAAATTAGGGGACGAAATTTGCGAATACAAAATTCCGAAGCTGAAAACGCAAGCAAAGGCGAAAGTCGAAGCCGTCGAAGGATGTGTTCATGAGTTGAGCCTAAACAATCATTTCTTTTTCGCTTTGCTTGCAGCGCCCTCTAGCCAACCAACTGGTTAACTGGGCAGGCCGATTCCTTCAGCTTCGCGAACACAAGCGTCAAGTTTCAGCGCCAGCTGCGTATTCAGCTTCACCAGGCCAGCCATAATTTCAGCGTCGAACTTAAGCGTTAGCGAATCTCAGCGTTGAAGGGTAATTAAGGCGCCGGCAAAATCGGGCGCAACAACTTCAGATTTCCAGCTTCAGTGGGCAAAAAGGGGACGAGGGGAGTTTGTGACAGCGCATGCAGGTTGGCTGGCGAAGGGTGGTGGCCCGAACAGTTTTTGTTAAGCCGGTGTTTGCCAAACCTCAGAGGGGCCAAGGTACATTTTCGGTCCCTGAGATGTGGCTATACTTCAATTTTTGTTTATCCCAGACAACTTAGAACAGGTCCTACCAAAAAGCTAGTTCCATTTTGGTCTACTTTGTGTCTTGGGTCAAGAAGGGTGATATCAGATCCTCTGCGCAAAGCAAGAGAGGGGTTTCGGAATTCCCGTTCAGGTGCTTGGCCGGGAGCAGGAGTTGTGGAGGATCCTCAGTAGCTGGGCAAGGATAACAGTCAGGCTTGCCAATTGAAAAGCCTTTCAAACGCACGGTTAGATGGTTGTTTGGTGACCAGGCGGGGCAGCCTTGGCATTGGGCTTGTTGCCTTGGCTTTTCTAGCTGTTCAGCTGGCAGCCACGTGCCGCGCCAAATCTGTGGCGAGTACCCTAGTTAGGATAATAGTTAGGAAATTCGAGCACTCCCTTTTACGTAGCTATCTTAAGCACCCTTAATTATCCAATTCGGGCACTTATTTTTCCCAAGTATCCAAAAAAAGGAAATTCAAGCACTCCATTTTACCGAATTGTCCTAAGCAGCAGGGAGTTCACCAATTCGAGCAATGATTTTACTTGGTTATCCGAATTTTCCTGGTTATCCCAGTGCTTTTGGAAAAGTAGCATAATCAACAAGTCGAGCATGTTATTCTTCAAAATGGCCCTAGTTATCCTAATTTTACCAGTTAAGTTGGATAGCAACCAGGTTGGAAGCCGACCGAGGTTCAAGAAAACACGACCCTCCTGAGCCCCCACTGGCATGGAAAAGTGTTATGCTTGTTGAGTAGGTTTGTTTGGTAGGATTGAGGGTTGCATCTACACGGGTCAGGTTGTCAAATGGCAATCGCCATTTGGCCCAAGGCACGAAAGACAAAGGACTTTGCCCGCTGAGGTCAAGGGTTGGGAACTGCGGAGGGATGAACAATCATTAACCCCCCACTTCTTAATCAGGGAGCTGCCTGTGGCGTGCGTATGGGGTTTCTTGCATTTTTGAGTGGTTATCAGCCGTATAGCTTTTGCGGGGTTATCAGTGTGGTTCGCTCCCTGAAAGGGGGCGCGTGCATGGCAGTGGAAGCGCCGTATCACACCCACGGTGGTGCAGGGAACAAGAAGAGCGTTTGGTGTAGACTGCTGTTGTCCCAAGCTGCCTGGTACAAGTGCTGGCCCTTGTATGCAAAGTTTAAGGACGTCTTGTTTACGTTTACATCTTGTTTGAAGTTGCGTGTGATTCGGCTGCTTTGATTTGAATGTATATGATATATGTATGCACTGAGCTATGCATTTTACGTGTTTGCTGCTTGGGGAACAGCGCCATAGTGGCAAGCCTCTTGCGTTTTTTGATCATGCAGAGTCTGAAGTGAGTGATAGCTAAAAGGAAATTTGCAACTAGCAACAACATTGATCGCTGCCGCGCTTTAATGAACAAGCACATGTGGCAACAAGGGGCTGCGTTGCATTGAGGCTACAACTCAGGTTGTAATGCTGTTGTAGGGGTTTCTTGGATGTCGCGGCCACTTGAATCGGACCCGTGTCCCGAGGACCCGAAAGCGCCCCGGGACCCACCTACTCAGTCGGCGGAACCACGAGAGGCCTTTGACGCCACCGTTAAAACCCCAAAACTGCCAGGTTTCCGTGGTCTTGTTCCTAGGCTTCTGCAACGGCTTCTACCGGGCCCGGTGAACCCTTCAGGGGCAAAGGCCTCCCGGCCGTGCTCATCCTCTACGCAGGTAAAGACGATGAGAGTAGCACAAGGGCAGCCATTCGACAAATAGCTCCACACCTGGATGGCTACATCCTGTCTTTGGTCCCCGGCGGAGCTCTCACAGCTTGCCTTGCGCATCACATTCTCTTTGGTAACTTTATAGGGTCGAATAGAAAAGTGTACCCGTGGCCAACTACATTTGTTGAAGCCGCAGCGTCATGGGGCTGCAAGGCTGCTATTGGTTGGCATGGAGAGTTTAGCTTATAGCAGAAACGGATATCTGACTTCAGCACGTTTCCTACCTTTTGAGCATAAGTTTTTTGTTGCGGTTGGCAGCACGCATGGGCTCCAGAGCCTATCTTCAATGGTTGTCTGCTCTCCTTGCCACTCACATTCCTGATCTACTTGGTATGACCAGTGGTTTGGAAGTAATTCAGCATATTGTGGGGATTTCCAAACCTCAAATGAGCTACCAGCAATCCGGCAAGGTGTTGCAGAGGCCTGTATTTCACTAACCCTCAGAAACCCAAGATGTTGGTTCCAGCAAATGTTTCTGGTGATCCACGACGAGTACCTATGGTCAGTGGAGTGGGGTAAGCTGAGACGCTGGTAGGAACTCTGACTTTCACATGATGGGGGCTTCCGTCGAGCCGCTCATCCGGTAGTCTGCAAAGTGGTGAGATGGGATGATAGGATCTCTCCTCGAAGTAATGCGCATATGACCCGCTGGCAGTCAAAATTTGAAACAAGCAGACGAGTCGTTTGACAAGCCATGGTTAAAAGTTCGGGCATAGGTGTCTTGACCTGATTCAGGTCTTTTTGGTCAATGCACCCTTGAACATCTTTTTCCTGGAAGAGTTCTTGGAGTCAGCCCGTTGAATTTGCTACACCGATGTCAAGCATCCTCTGAACACATGCTGTGGCGGCTCAGGGCCGCCTGATGGGTTTCAGCACAAGACCTGTTCCCGCCAAAACGTTTTATCCCGAGCAAATGTACAAAATCATTGCAAGCGCACTTTACCCGGATGTGGCACCAAGGGCGCCAGCAATGCCAACGCAGGTAGCCACCGTGCAGGAAGATCATCGTGAAAAGAAACAATCCCTAAAGCGTGTCTCCGCGCTCTCGGGTGTTGTGTCGCTCGCTTCTACCGTGGAACATCTCGCTTGGGATGTGCCCCGAAATTGCCGCGTGCCGAAATGTTGGCTTCACCTGAGGCTCTCCAGGCAAAGCAAAGGAGGAGGCAGATGGTTTAAGTGATGAAGGGGGGGGTTAGGGGATCTGACTGCTGTCCAAGAGTATGTGCGGTGAACCAAGACGAAGGTTCACTTCGGACAGCTCATGACTATCGCGCGCGTACAATTCTTTGAGCTTGCCGAGCATCTCCGGAAAGTGAAGGGGCATAGTCGGGGGCTGCGCGAGAGACGAGTATGGGGCGGCGGCCGTCTATCAAGACCCCAGCACCATTGGTCCAGGTTTGAGTACGGATTGCTGCCAGTCACAAGACCACTGCCGCAGATGCCGTGAAGGCATACATTCAAGCGTTGCTCCGCTCACGGCGTCAGACATGGATTGCGCTGCCACCTGAACTTCGCCAGAAGTGGTGGAAGCAAAAATTCACAAAACTGGTTGCGCTGTTAATCAAAGAACAAGAAAATTCTGAGAGAACAACTTGGGGAGGAAATCTCGCAATTTCTTCTTTCCGGAAACTGGTTTAATGCTGTCAACGTATGTAGACGACCTCGCGCTGTCGGGGCCAGAGGAACAGCGCGATCCCTCTTGGCAACGGCTAATGTCGTTGTTGACATTGAACCTCCAGAAGCAACACAGCGCGTCCTTGGAAGGCATTGTGGCACGCCTCGTGCGACGCGGCATCCTCAAGCCCATCGGGGTCTTGCGACGTGCGTGCAAAAGTGGTCTCGTAACAATGATAGGCAGTTGGCTAGGCTAATAACAAAACTAACACGCCCACCACGCACCGCATGGTTGGGACAGTGCAGGACTATTGTATCGAGCTGCAGCTTGCGCTCCACGTTGATGCCGACTTTGCTGGAGAGGAAGGAGCGAAGTCGACTTCAGGAAGGGGCCAAACTCCCACTTTGTGCTTGCGTGGATCAGCCAACGGCAGACTTCGGCGTCACGCTCCACAACTCAACCACAGTGTTTTTGGCACTTTGTACCAGGCAGGCTCCCTCAGCCGGGATAGGCAGCAAAAAATTTTTATTAGGCATCAAAAAAACTTATTAGGCATCAAAAAAACTTATTAGGCATCAAAAAAACTTATTAGGCATCAAAAAAACTTATGCTCATTCCTATGGGGGGAAGGAAGGAAGGAAGGAAGGACGGAAGGAAGGAAGGAAGGAAGGCAGGCAGGCAGGCAGGCAGGCAGGCAGGCAGGCAGGCAGGAACGAAGGAAGGAAGGAAGAAAGGATAAAATGAAAGCAAGCCCCCCCCCCCCCCCAACCACCCCGCTGATTTGTAGAAGGTTTGCAGTGACTAGCGCACCCTTTGCTGAATCATCACTTCTTCGATCATCATCACCCGTCGTTGAATCATCACTTCTTCGAGCATCATTGGGGGGCTGCCGCCTCCCCCAACCCCCCAGCTGATTTTCAGAATGTTTACAGAGATTACCGCACAGGAGGGGCTGCCGCCCCCGCCCAACCCCCCTGCTCATTTGTAGAATGCCTTACAGAGCTTAACGCACCCCTTGTTGAATCGTCACTTCGTCGAACATCATGGCCCCCCAACCCCCCCGTGATTTTCAGAATGTTTATAGAGATTACCGCACAGGGGGGGCGGCAGCCCCCCCCAACCCCCCTGCTGATTTCCAGAATGTTTACAGAGCTTAACGCACCCTTTGCTGAATCATCACTTCCTCGATCTCTCTCTCTCTCTGTGTGTCTCGTTAAAATTGGTCCTTATTGTTGTTACAAGTGCAAGTGCTGTAGTGTTCAAACAAACAGTCAAGCAATGTAGTCTGCAGCTGCCAACCTTTTGACTCATGCGATGTAGTGAGCTCAAGGCCTGCAGTAGTGAACATACATGCGACGCAAACACAGGAAGTGAAGCATGTAGTTTGACACGGCCCCTCAATTAAAAGGTCTTTGTAGTACCTTTTCAACTGAAGTGCAAAACATGGATTGGCAGTAGTGATGAAAACCACTGTTGTTCATCAATGCTACTGAAGTGACAAAAGTAGTAAGCTACTCTCAGTAGCTCACGCTGTTCATGGTCCAGCACAAACTAGTGCAGTTGCTGGATGGAGTTCGTGAGGCAGTTACTGGATGTAGTTGAGCAGGAGCTCAAGCGTGTAGTGCCCAGTGCTGGGCGCGGTAGGCTTGGACCATCTGTAGTCGACTGTCCAAGGTCGCATAGTAGTGGGTGGCGAAAAAGGTTGTCATGCAGTTTGGAGCGCCTCGTAGCCTTTCATCGTCGATCTCAGGGCAAGTCATATGTTGGTCGTGGATGTTGTGTAGTTGGGAGGTAGTAGTTGTGTTGTACTGACATCATGTAGGAAA